TCATCTCTACCTAGCACAAGGCCTTTTGGGAGCTCACTGGCTTCGAGTTTCGTCGGAACTCCGAAGTTAAGCGAAAAGGGGGTTAGAGCAATCCCATGATGGGTGACCCACTAGGAAGTTGCTCGTGAGTTCCCAAAAACAAAACCGTGAGGGAATGGTAAGCCCAAAGCGGATAATATCGTGCTACGGTGGTGGAGCGGACCCGGGAAGTGATCCGCCCCGGGCCGGGATGTAACAGTTTACTATAGGTAATGTTAAGGAGACAAAATTTGTAGATAAAATTCACAAATTAAATGATGTGTCACTCATAGGACACGTTTATCAACACTTAAGTAATAATTCAAGGGTAATGCTAGGGAGACTAAATTTGGAGACAAAGTTTTAGAAACTAAGAGACATAGAAGTTGATGATTGATATATTACTTAAATGTTGATAAATGTGTTTATTCTTATCGGTGACACATCATTTAGTTTACAAATTTAGTCTCTCTAGCATTACCCATAATTCAGTCATCAACTTTCATATAATTTAGTTTATAAAATTTAGTCTACAAGTTTACCTAAATTGTTTTTAATAAAAGCTAGCCAATGACATTTGAGAAGAGATACATAGATGGTCCAAGTAGTAATACACTTTTTTTCCAATTAAGGCCATCTCCAACCGAGGGCTGGACAGATGACTTGTTTTAGCCCTCTGGCCCTTTAAGATATTAATATTTTAATGAACAGTACAAGACCATATTTACCTCCGTCTCCAACCAAGGGCCAAAAGGTCATAGGGCTCGTTTTAGTCCTGTCACAAAAAACCATCTCCAACCGAGAGCTAAACATAATTTATTATTTAAATTTAGAAACTACAACAACTTAAATTCAAATCCAACAACAACTTAAATTTAAAAACTACAACAGTAACTGGCCCAAAAAAATTAGAACTTAAATTTAATGAATAGTTTAGGTATTTATAGAAAAAAAATTAGAATTTTTAAAAATTAAAAAAAAAAATTGAATACAACGGCTAGTCAGCTAGCCGTTGGATTCAACCGACATGATTTTTTGAATTTCTAGCCAGCCCCAGCAGCTGGCCCTTTGGCCTTTTCAGATTCTGTGGGGCCCACGAGCCTCTGGCCTAGCCCTCGGTTGGAAACAGTTTTCGAGCTATTTTTGGCTCTCTAACCCTTTGGATCATTTGGATGGAGATGAACTAAGTACTAATTCTATGATGACCTGAGATACTTTTAGGGGCTGTTCAAGGTCATATGACAGTCGACCCTTGAATATTCTAGGTCATGTAGTCTGGAGGAAATTAGTTTGCAGGTCTATATCACACATCGATCACACTAAAGAATCAGATATTACGAGTGGAAGAAAGAAAAAACGAATAATGAAAAAGGAGTCACTGTGTGTTCATATTAAAAAGAAAGAAAAAAAAAAAGGTCATTCCACAACTTTTGACACAATTTGTGACGCCAATTTTTTTTACACAATTTTACATAAATTTTTGTGGAACTTATTTTGTAATGTATTTATGAACCGTCTATCTTTTATAATATCATTCATTGATCATCCTTACAAAAATTAGGCAAATGTTATGATATTAATTCCATGTGATAAAAATATGACGTAAATGTTACATCTGTGATTGTATAAATTATTAATAGATTATATTATGATAGTAGAAAATCTTATTCGTTTATGATTGCATTACTTGCAAGGCATGGAATATGACGAAAATGTTACATGTGTGATTGTGTAAATTATTAATTGATTATTTTTATGATAGTAAAAAATATTATTCGTTTAGGATTGCATTACTTGCAAGGCAAGAAAATTCGCTATATTTACTATAAATAAAGACACAAGTTATGAAAAACATGCATCATCAAAATTCGTCAGCCTTATCTTTCTCTGTGCTACTGCATCCTCTCTCTCCCTTGAGTAAATAAGGCCCCAAAAAATATATTCTTGAGTTAAATAGGCATAAAAAATGTGTTTCGGAATAAACCGATCCAATTCGGAATGAACCAACCAACCTCTTAACATAAAGTTCATACGGTATTTTTTTTTTCGGTTGCACGAATGATATTATTTGGATTATAAATCTTACTTGAGGATAGACTAAGAAATAACTTCCACTAAATGAAGTGTAACTCAAGTCTCCAAGAAGAAACTAGTGTGGTACTTTCCAAGAACTTATGTTCAACTTTCCAAAAGTGTTAAGAGTTCTATTTAGTTCGTAGTTTTATGAGAATTTTCCAGGAACTTTGTTGGTGGGAAACAAATTCGATCTGCACTTGAATAATATTATTAACAACTCAATGTAAACAACTGTTTAGTCGAGAAACGTATATTAAGACTTTTTTGTTTAGGTATTTGATTATAGATTATAAGAAAAATTAACACTTTTTATTTATTTATTTCTTACGTGTTAGTACATGGGAAAGTTTAAGGGTGAACTTTTTCTCCATTCTGGTATTTTTCTAAATGCGTAAAACTAAAGAACCAAAATTATTTCAATTTTCATTTGTAAAATGCTCCAAAGGAGGGGGATTCGAACTTGATTGTAAAGGGTTAGCACGCCCATGTTTGCTTAAAAGATATGTATGTATATATATGTGTGTGTATGTATAAATATGTGTGTATGGGTATATACATACATACATATATATATGGGGCAGATCCATGACACCACTTTTTTTGCACAACTTTTGACATAAGTTTTTGTAGGGTCCATTCCGTAATATATTTTGACCATTTGAACCGTCTATCATTTAGAACATCATTCATAGATCATCTTTGCAGAAAATTAGACAAATTCAAAACTATTAAAACGTTCATTCATTTGTAGTGAAGAAATGGACTAATACGTTTCTCTAAGAAACCTTAAACCCTGATCGAACATTCATATGATTTCAAATTTGGGTGATTTGTATAATGATCTTTGAAGGACAACCTAAAAAATTAACAGTTCGCATAATTGAAATACATTACGGAATGAGCTCCAGAAAACGTATATCTTATAACAATGGCCTAATATTATTAGAACTATTCAAATCGTTAAAATACATTGAAGAATAGACCCTATAAAAATGACAATCATCTAGCATTACTGGGACCAGATCAATCTCTTTCGACCTCAACTCCTTCATTGGCTTGTTAGGCCTGGCATGGACTTTAATGAGTGTATAGAGTATCTCAGGTCATCATAGTATTAGGACTTAATTGGAAAAAACTGTATTAGTACTCGGACCATCTTTGTATCTCTTCTCAAATGTCATTGGGTAGCTTTTATTAAAAACAATTTTGGTAGATTTGTAAACTAAATTTTATAAACTAAATGATATGAAAGTTGATGATTGAATTATGGGTAATAATAGGAAGACTAAATTTGTAGACTAAATTTGCAAAGTAAATGATGTGTCACCAATAGGAATAAACACGTTTATCAATGTTTAAGTAATATACTAATCATCAACTTCCATGTCTCTTAGTTTCCAAAACTTTGTCTCCAAATTTAGTCTCCTAGCATTACCCTTGAATTATTATTTAAGCGTTGATAAAACGTGTTCTATTGATGACATATTATTTAGTTTGTAAATTTTATATACACCTTAGCATTACCTATAGTAAACTGTCATAACTTGGTTATTTGTCTCGTTCCATCGCTATGACTGTTATTGTGAATGAATTATGTAAATACCACTTTACACCTCTACTAGCTTAATTCGTGTTTAAAAAAAAAAAAAAAAGTTCGATTCTAGAAGCACAATCAACTTAGTAGAAGTTTGGAATTAGTGTTTTACAGGTTGATTGCGCTTCTATAATGAAATGATTTCACCCTCCAATTTTGAGATATTTTTTAGTACGTTAAAAATACGATTGGTACATTGAGTATTTTAATATAAGTAATTGAATACTTGAAAAAAATTTAATCACCTGGATTAAGGATAATGGACTTTCGATCATGGATTGGAAACGTAGGAGAAGCCCCAAGTTATGGGCCTCGGCTACCACGAACCTATTCACCCGGTTTTATCAAAATTGGGCCTAAAACATGTTTTAGGGATGATGACCTTTAATTATGGTATCTTTTTATGATTTAATCCCTAGTTTACTAACTACAGTAACTTTATTGAAGGGTGATTTGACGTTTCACTTAGTATTACGACAAAGTTTTATTCATATTTACTTGTAAGTAAAATAATTTAGGTTTGATTTTCGTGAATAAACACCTGACATGTGTTTCTCTAATGACTCTAAAACAAATTTTTATTCCAAATATAACCAACTTTAATTGTCAAAAAGCTAATTTTTAGTTGTCCAAAAATACTTTTAGTCGACCCGCTCATGTAATAATCGGAGTATTTATTTATCAGACTATAATGACATATCAACTTAAGCACAAATGGAGAAAATAAACTATAAGAAACCCCCAATTCTAACATAACTTATCGCTTTAGCCCCAAAATTTTTATCCCTTTTTTTTGCCACCCCGTAATTTAACATTTTCAACTACTTTACTTCTACCATCTAAATACATATTGGTGTAAGAGATTCAACTTTACAAATATAGGGCCTCATGGAAAATGCTTCTAAAAATGACTTGAAGCTTAGTTGATTAAAAAAATTCAACTTTACATTTGAAAACTCGAGTTCAAATTCTCTATCCACAATATCACGTTTATAGAATAGCAAAGTTCATTATTCGAGTCTCTAATTTTTATATAAAAGCAATGAATGAACAACCCAACTAATTTTTTTTTTTTTAAACAAACAATAGTATCTACATTAAATGGGTGGATATGTGCTTAAACTTCACAATGGGTTAGCAAGAATGTAATTCAAATTCACTTTTGACGAGAATCAAAACTAATACCTTTCATTTACAAGTGAAAACGAATACTACTAGCCTGACCAATCTTCTTAACCATGGAATGAAATAGATTCATCAAAAATGGCAAATAAAGAATACTAATTTGTTGGTTGCGGAATTCGAACCCATGACACAATCGTGAAACCAATAAACCGCGACCACTGCTGCATCTGACGAACCCTAAGTCTCTAAACCCTAATTCCTAAACCCTGATTCCTAAACCCCTCGCCCCCAATTTTTGAACTCCCTGAACCCATAGCTATATATAGTCCCCAAAATCTCAACTTTTACAGAAGAAGGATTCTCCAACTTGGACATTGCATCAGCAATGGCTATGGAGGTGGAAGAAACAGAGGGGAAGACTGTGTTGTGCCTGCTGACGGACCCAGATGGGACTCCATTAGGAAGCTCCGTCTACCTTCCTCAGAACACTGAGCCGCAACACCTTCAGCAAATTGTCAACCAGCTTCTCAAAAATGTATAATCATTTTTACTTCTTTACAAATTTTGCATCTTGCTGTTGAATTTTGTAATTCCCCTGGTTAAAGCTGTTGAATTGCAATGACTAATTTCAATTTTGTAAGAAAATTTGAATTGCAATGATTAAGTCTATGTTTTTCCAACTTTCTTATGTATGAGCAAGAAGTGATTTGTGACATTGACATTTGTTGTGGATCCTGCTTCATGTGTTGTGGCTTTCCATGCTCATATAAGTAATGATGTCTGCGTTTCGGTTTTGTTCAGGAGGAGAGGCTACCTTATGCTTTCTATATACAAGATCAGGAACTTATTGAGTCACTTGGAAAATATGCAGACAAGAAGAAAAGTGAGTTAGATAATGGCAAAAATTTTAGTCAGTATTTCAGCTGCCATGATAGTTGTGCATATATTAAACAACAGCAACTGTGAGAACTTAGGGCCGCTTTTTCATTTGCTACTCTTTTCTGGTGAAAACCTTGGCAGTTTCCGTGGAGAAGGTACTCAACATAGTTTATCAACCACAAGCTGTTTTCCGAATTCGTCCTGTTCATCGTTGCTCAGCAACAATTGCCGGTACTTTGTGTGATCAACCTTCTCTGGATTGGCTTACTGGATACCAATTTCGGTTACTTGTATGCTGTTGAGAATATAATTTAGTTTATTATTAAATCAAAGCTATGTTTTGTCACTGCAGGTCACACAGAAGCTGTACTTTCAGTTGCTTTTAGTCCTGATGGTCAACAGTTGGCTAGTGGTTCTGGTGATACAACTGTCCGACTATGGGACCTTAATACTCAGACGCCGTTGCACACATGTACAGGTTTGGAGTCTGAGTTTTATATCACATTCCTAATTTTTATACTTTTGAACATTACACTATGTTTGTACACTACGAAAAGTATTTTGAAATAGTAGATAAGCTTGCATATAAAAATAGAGAAGGAATTACAGATGATTTGGATATCTGAGAACATACCATTTCTTTTCTTGATTACTGTAGGATTAGAGATGATAATGCAATTACTTCTAAGTTAAGAGGGTAGTCATTCCTCATCACTTGTCGTAATATTATTTGCACTAACAGTGGACCTTGTTTTATTCAGGACATAAGAATTGGGTCCTTTCTATTGCATGGTCACCTGATGGTAAGCATCTTGTTAGTGGCAGCAAGTCTGGAGAACTTCAATGTTGGGATCCACAGACAGGGAATCCATCAGGCAATCCACTTATCGTAAGAATCTATACTTCAATTACTGATCTTTATAAACTTCTCTGTTGTTTGTGGCATATTGCACTTAGTTGCTTGTGATGCATGTAGAGAGAAACCTCTTCTACATTGAGGAACTTGCTATACTATAATGTTCAACAGCTGAATTAACAGGAATATGTGCCTTCCCTCTTTCTCTGTGCATGTTATTAAGTAATGAGTTCCCATTCCAATAAAGAGTAAAACAATGAGTGCTTGTATGCTTTTTAAATACGTAATAAGTCCCCATAACATATTGTTATTAATGATTTATGTGTCATGAATTTTGAAACCTTTGTAAATTGAAAGTTGATATCTTCTCCCTTGGATTTGGATGTTGAAATTTACAATTTGAAATTTTGATTACATCCACATATAAGGTTGTCTGTATTTATGTAACCTTTTTGTCCAAGTGTGATGCCCCATTTAGACTCCATCAAGATGATGCCATGATGGCTGCTATGTGAGAACAACTAAATAAAGAAGAGGGTTCCTGAAAATTGCCTTTTCCTTGACAATCCCTTACTGGGAAGCAAGTGTTTCTTTGATATTTGTTTGCTGACAATATTATTTTATTCTTTTGTTAGGGCCACAAGAAATGGATTACTGGAATCTCTTGGGAACCAGTCCACCTTAGCTCTCCGTGTCGACGCTTTGTAAGTGCTAGCAAAGATGGTGATGCACGCATATGGGATGTTACGTTGAGGAAATCTGTTATATGTCTTAGTGGCCACACACTTGCAGTAACTTGTGTAAAATGGGGTGGAGATGGTGTCATATATACAGGGTATATATAATATATTTTTTCCTATTTCTTTCAATAATAATAACATTTACTTCTGATAAGAATGTGAGGTATGTGTTAGTATGATCAACATGTTTATGTAAACTATAATTAGAGACTTTGCGGATGATAATTATGGTCATCAATTTGAATGCTCCACCTGACATCCATTTACATGTGGCTCTTATATTTTCGATATTATTGAGGTGAAGTTGACTACAGATTTATAACAAATATCTCTATCTTAACTGTCACAGCTCCCAGGATTGTACCATCAAAGTATGGGAGACCACTCAAGGAAAACTAATTCGTGAACTGAAGGTAAGTAATACGTCTATAGGGTCGTGGCTAGTTCAGAACCTTTGATTTTTGCATCATTGCTTGATTTGTAATATATAATTAAGTTATTGACATTGTGATTACCTCATTTAAATTGTCAGTTATTCGTACCCTATAACTTATTTCTATATGCTTTATTCTGTGCTGTGGATGTGTTAATTTCGTTGTTGTATTAGACATTGATAAGTGTTTTTTGACTAAATATAATTGGTTTTGTTTTATGGATCTCAATGATAATCTGCTTCCATCTCTTCTCTTAGACCTTGTTTTGTTTAATGGTATATAGACTATTCATATTCCCGATTTTTCCATCAATGGTTTTCTAGATTTCTTGTATATGGAACTTTCACCAGACTCTGTATTAGCTAGTTCAAATTTCTAATTCAACCTTATAATTTTGTAATTCAATTGTTCTGTTGTTTGTTGTTCCTTTTAAGTCATTGATGGTTAGTAATATGCTTATTTGTCTAAATTAATATGCCTTGTCCATGGAATGGCACTTGTTGACACTCATGCATCTTAATATCTGTAATTTACATTTCATGACTTTTGATATCTTACATGGTATGTTTAGGGTCATGGTCATTGGGTTAACTCTCTTACATTGAGTACTGAATATGTTCTTCGTACTGGAGCCTTTGATCACACCTGCAAGCAGTATTCGTCTCCAGAGGAAATGAAGAAGGTAATTGTTTTGTCTGCTTTGGTAGTTGCATTAGTCTTGTCTGCTTTGATAGTGTTTATTTTATTCAGGTCTCATATGTTTCATTTAAGACGAGTATTGTTTTTTCATAGCGATACTTTAGTATCAAAAGAGAAACAAATTTGGTACCCTTTTACTAGTTTTAAGGATTCAGGCCTGCCACTCAGGCATTTGTTTTTTTTTTTCTTTGAGTTTAATGTTGGGGAGGACAAGATCTATTTTCTTTTGTTTCCTTTGAATCTCTGTTATTGCATTCTATTTCAATTGGGAACTGCAAAGTCTTGACCTTTGATTGAACAATTCTTACGCTGGAATACCAGTGTTGAAGAAGTGTATATCATGAATTTTACAATGCTGATTCTTTCATAACAATTCTTACATATGCTCTCTCTCTCTCTCTCTCTCTCCACCTCTTTTTCCCATCCATGAAACTAATTATATTTTCAATGTCGGACATGTAGGCAGCTTTGGAAAGATATAACAAAATGAAAGGCAATGCCCCTGAAAGATTGGTTTCTGGATCCGATGATTTTACAATGTTTCTATGGGAACCTTTTGTCAGCAAACAACCTAAAACTCGCATGACAGGTCATCAACAGGTAAAATATTTTCTTGAACGCTACGTTCGGTTGCTAACTGTAATCCAAGTTCCTGATTATTTTTAATTGGAGTGAATGCTACCTTAATTTTCCAATTGTGTTTCTGTATCAGTGTGCTTATGAGTTATGACTTAAAATGACAAGATCTTATTTGTCAGCTTACCTAAGTTTTTTTCATTAATAAAGGCTTACTTAAGTTCCGCTCCTCTATTTGGGTTGTCAAATTTTAGCTTTAGGCATGGTCTGGTAGTGACACCTTCCTTGTTTGTAAATCATAATGGTTCATCCTCCCAACCCTCCTGTGGTGAGTTACTATACAGTCATTGAGAGTTAGCTACTCGGGCTGTGAATTTAGGCTTCCATCCTTTGAAAAGATTTAAAATGATGAACCGTCAGCTTTTAACCTCCTGAAGAAGACCATTATCCTTGATGTTCAGTGCTCCATCCCACACATGTGAAGTCGAGTCTTTGTAAGCTGCATTCTACGTGAATTTCGTAGGTTAAATGAATGGCTAATCTTAATTTGCTTGAGAGACTTTCCTGCATTACCTTGGTCTGCAGCTGTCTTACATCATTATGTTTTTAGAATTTCAAGACAGTTGTGAGAACTTTTTTTTGGGTCAAATTGTGAGAGCTTGTTTGGTAACGTATTTCTGTTTTTCTTTTTTGGGCGAACAAGTTTTTCATGATTATGGAACACAAAGCTGTTTTCTGATGAACCAAACATGCCATTTTTTTTTAATTCCTCACCGCCTCTGGCTACAACTAAAAAAAATGTCATGCCAATCAACAGACTCTTGTTTTCATCTTTAGTTCTGCAAGGTAATTCGGATTCAATTTTCAGTAAGATGTTTTATTTCATAGTAGATGAAATGAGTCAATTTTGAGTTCCCAAAATATGCACGATGCATCTTCATTGCAGCACAGGCCTTAAACTTAGAGCTCTGATTACTGCTTGCTTTTAGGGGTGCTCATGTTCATGTTTCTGATAAGATGAATTCTCAAAACCAATTTATGTAGTTGGAAGTTTTTATCATTTAAGCTTTATAATGGATTGGTGAAAATGTTTTCCTGGTAACAGCTTGTAAACCACGTCTGCTTTTCACCTGATGGGCAATGGATAGCAAGTGCCTCATTTGATCGGTCTGTCAAGTTATGGAACGGTACTACTGGAAAATTTGTTGCAGCTTTCCGGGGCCACGTTGGCCCTGTCTACCAGATCAGGTCTGAATTGAATTCAATTATCTATGTTATTCAAATTCTTATATTGTATGGCTAATTATTACGTATTGCCTCACAGCTGGTCGGCAGACAGTAGGCTGCTTGTAAGTGGCAGCAAAGATTCCACTCTCAAGGTAAACCATTAACTGGTTATGAACTTTTTATTGTTTGGTGGTGATAAGGATTCCTATCAAAGGGAGTGAGACTGTATGATTTTACATTGCATTAGAAACACATCAAGAAACATAATGTGGTCTACGTGGAGAAAATAATTGACATTGCGACTTCTTCACATTTTGATAATTCTACATGTCACAAAACGAATCATCTCAAATTTGCTAGTGGATTAAATCTCGGTTCATGTAAACTAGACATTAGTTTGATTGTTTCCATATGACGTCCTAATAATTTGAGTTTGTTTATCCTGATCTTGTTTTCATACATCTGAGAAATAAAGTGTTGTCTTTTAATTTCCGTTAATCATTTCACTACTATAAGGCGTATTTCTATCTTTGACCTGGTGTTTTGTGGTTCTGTACTTGGGTGTGCCCGTGGCATTAGCAACCATGGAAACCTTGATCTCTATTTTTAGATCCCAGATTATTGAATATTTTCATCATGTATGAACTCCAATGTTTGACCAACTAAATTCAGATTCCTTGCACTTGTTTTGTTATTGAGTTCCTTGGTTTGGGTGCTATGCCCATTTTGCTAATGGTGGAATTTCTCGGGGTTATATCCATGACCTATGGCTGGATTTTTTATTTATTTCAATCATATAGGTTTGGGATATCAGAGCACGGGCGCTAAAACAAGACCTTCCAGGCCATGCTGATGAGGTATGTTTTCGCTTCACCTCAAAGTCACTGATATACTGTTACATTTATTGAAGCATGCTTGGAGGAGGATGGAAACATAGACATATAGGAAGATTCCCAAAAACAGATACTAAATCAGCAGACCATTGCAGGCAACGCTAGCAATTTTTCAATTCTCCATTTTACTAAATGTTTTTGGATATTACTTAGAATGAAGTATCGCGTGCACCCGTGACAAGCTTTACACACGTAGTATACATGCCCTCTTTATATTGACGTATGGTGAGGCCCATTTTTTAATTTTTAATTTGTTTTTGAAAGGTTTTTGCTGTCGATTGGAGTCCAGATGGTGGGAAGGTTGCTTCGGGTGGCAAGGATAGAGTTCTGAAGCTATGGATGGGCTAAGACTAATGGTAGGCCGAAGTCCAGGCAACTAGATAACTGAAATACATCCTGATGGTAATTGAGCATTGACGTATTTGGTACGATATGATGTATACGGTACAAATTAGGAATGGTAATTCTAACCGTTAAACCCGATTACCGTGGATAATTGCCCGAATGGATTGGATTTGGATATGAAAATTCGGGTATGGTTTGGACATGGGGAAAAACCATTAACTTTATTCGGTTATGGTTTTGGATATAGTTATAGGGGTACCTAATCCATATCCGTACCCGAATCCGATCCGAATATTATATATATATATATATATATATTTGATATATATTATATTTTATTCAATTATGCCTTTCGAAGTCTTGGAATTATGCCCACAACGTATTCAATTATTCCTATCCTTGTAGTACTAATTCATTATACATGCATCAAACCCTATACTATCTTTATTATGCACCAAACATCATACATGGGGCATACCAACAACCTCATCAATTCAATACTCTTATTGTTATACTCAACCCAATTAATTCATTGAATCATTTTATATATCAATTATCAAATGTTCCAAGGTTATCAGATTCATCTCTCTTCAAAAGTCTCACTGTCAAGAAATTGGTGCATGTTGTAAGCTCAATAGGTAATCTTTCATTCTTTTTCATGTTATTTGATTCATGCAAATTATCAATTAGTGTCAGTTTTTCATTTTATTACATATGTTATGAGCCTATAGAATTATGCAAAATTAAATCAATAATTGTCTTTTGGTTTGTTGTCATATATTTAGTTTACGTGTTTTATCTTCCCTTTATATTTGTTTTTGTCCTCTTTTTCTTTTTTGTTGGACCAATTTATCATATTGGCTTATCATGAACAACTTCAAATATATATTGTTATGTTTTTTGTAATTGGATGTGGCTATTTAATGGCAAAATTAGTATCTACTAAAATTTATAGTGTGTCAATTGGATGAATATAATTTTTTTTTTTTTTTTGACGAAGATAGATATAACCGATAACCGATTGAAAATCCGTTACCCGGTGGATATGGTTATGGATAATTCCCGATGGTTATTTTGCGGTTATGGGTATGGTTAATTTTCTTGGTTATGGGGATGGATATAACAATTCCATCCCCAAACCGAACCGTTGTCATCCCTAGTACAAATACAGGGATATGAACAAGGATTGGGAATCTAAGAATCAGTCACAAGAAAGGTTGCCATGAAAAGCTCCTAAATCAGCATTAAAATTTCGATCCATTGGGGGCGAGCATTCTGCGTGGGCGAACATTCTGCGAGCTGTCTGATGTGGAATAGCAAGGCAGCCAAGTTTTCTTATTTAGAGTTGTGCCATAAGGTAGTTTGTATAATTATTTCCTGCATTAATATTTGTTTTTGGTTATATTGGAGGGAAACGAACCCTGAACTAGTCCGGAAATGTATTCCTGCAGCTGATTCCTGTCATCTGCTATCATGCCAAATTGCCAATATATGCTTATTATCTCGTTTTGTAGCTCTGAACAATACGATTCACTATTATCATATTGGATCCGATGCTCATATTTGTTGAAATATTTGGGCTTATTTATTAAAATGCCTCCTGGAACTCGATATAAATCTCATTCAGCTCTGCGCAACTGAAATTATAACACTTCCGTACCTTCCCGACCAACCCAATTGTCTCACTTTTTCCCTGTAATCAAAAGTCCGGTAACAAATCCGTTAGTTCCGGCGAGACGTTTAGTGGGTTGGTAAGGACTAAGGAGTGAAGTATAACAATTTCATACGTGATAAGCACAAGAATAGTTTCTAACATAAGGAGATTTTCTTTGACAAGAAAAAACGTAACAGATATTTTTCTTGACAAAAAGAAAAAAAACGTAAAGATATTTTAATTTAAAAATTATACTTTGTTTAGTACACATACGCCTTCTACTATAGTTTGAGTAGTGTGATATACATATAGGAATCAGACAACCTAAATTTGATACATATAACGTTACACTAGCGTGAGTTTTATAATTGTGGGAGCCATACTTTAGGACATTATTCTATAATTATTACACTCATGAGATATTGGTGTCACTGTCACTTCTTCCGGCCTAAAGCCTCATAAATGCCTATAGTGTCTAAAGCCTTAGAAAAGCTCAGAAAGCCAAAAGAAACTTTTTTTTTTAAAAAAAAAATTATCTTGTTCTTTTTTTTTTTTTTTTTAATTTTTAATTTTGTAATAAATGATATTATCTACCTTTAAGGAGTTGGAGAGTGAGCTAAGTCTCATAATATACCAACAATAATATGGTTCAAATTCGCTTTTGGCCAAAATCGAATTAACTTCTCACATACAAGTGAAGAAAAGTACCATTAAATCGTAGTACTAAATAGCTTTTTATATTGTCCTTCTAGTACTCAGATGTGTCGCCAAATTTTGCTTGATTGGAAATCGATAAGTCAAACTGATATTTTTGGTTTGGTTCTCAGTGTTCACGCTATAACTCCCCATAATCGTGGCCCCGCAAATCCACCAAGGATCGCTTATATCCAAATTCGTCCGGCAATTGAATTGCCACTGTGTATCAGTTTCCTACTCCTCGTCATCGTAAATAAAATGATAAAATATTTAGAAATAATACATTGGTATAATATATTTGTAAAACTGAAATTGAATTATTTTAAAAGAAGACTAATCAAAAGAGTTTCAAAATTTTAAATTTTAATAAAAAATCATATACTAATTTTATTTAATAATAAGAACAAAAAAATAAATTAAAAAAAAACAAAAAAAAAATCCCACCCAACCGAGCGTAAGCAACCAATTCAAATATCAAATCAAGCCCCTACTGTCAACAGTTAGAACCGAAAAGAAGACAAATAAATTAAAAAAAAAAATTTAAAAAAAAAATCCGTCAAGTAACAGCCTTTAATATTATAGATAGACAAATATATAATATCTGTTATGTAAGTTTTGATTGATTGATAATGTACACAAAGATCGTCGACACCATCTATGGAGTTTTAGCTTAAAAACCAAGCTTCTGCAATGGTGGATTAATGAGTTTAAAAATCTGATCGTTACGATTTATCCATCAATCAGTATAACAACTAATTAGAAAACACAACTAATCATTTGTATCTAATTAATATTGATGGCATGCCTTTTTCAAGTTTATTTTTCGTGCCATTGGCCATTAATTTATTGGCCCCCAAAACCTTAAATGCTAGTTTGCATTTTCCACTCGAGCTTCGCCTATTGTACATTGTTTTCTCTATCATAGTTAATGAAATAGTGATAGTACTAGTGCTCAGCTTAAAAAATAGTCAATATTTAGTACAAAATAGTGGTATTACTAGTGTTCAGTTTGAGAAATAGTTAGTTTTCAGTTTACGAAATAGTGATAGCATTAATGTTCAGTTTAAGAAATAGTAAGTGTTCAGTTTAAGAAATAGTGCTAATACTAGTGTTCGGTTTAAGAAAGAGTTAGTGTTTAGTTTATGAAATAGTGATAGTACTAGTGTTCAGTTTAAGAAATAATCAGTGTTCAGTTATAGAAATAATCAGTGTTTAGTTTAAGAAATAGTAATAGTTCGATGGTGCAGTTTTAGAAATAGTAGTGTTACGTTCTAAATATAATTAATGTTCAATTATAGAAATAATTAGTGTTCAGTTATAAAAATAACCGGTGTTCATATCACATAACACAAACTTAAAAATTTGTCCAAACTAAAGATAAAATCACTATTTCAAAATTAAAATAAGCATTGTTTATAAAAGGAAAAATTACACATTACACATAGAGTATACTTTTAATACTTAATTTTATATTGAGACAATACTTTTTAAACATTTCAAGAAGAGATAAAAATTAACATATATAGAAGATGACATCATTAGTTTTTTTTTTTTTTTTATCTCTAGAATTTAAGTTACAAAAATACCCTTTTATTGTAGTGGCGGTCTAACTCCAGGGATGATTATATCCTACTACTTTTCCTTTTCACAATATGAGGCAATTAAGAGAAATTGTAAGCAAATGAAAAATTGTCCCAAGGAACACACGTGAGGGTGATGAATCTCTTAGGTCTCCTCCAACAGGTGGAAGCATTGACCAATGAAGAAGAAGTTGAATTGGGTTCAAAAATTGAATCCCTTGGATAAGATGTTACAAAACTTATGTCGTATTCACGAAATCGGATACTTAATTTTATAATGAGATTACACTTTTAAACCTTTCAACCTTTCAAAGAACGATAAAAGTTAGTAAATGTAGAAGATGACATCATTGATTTTTTTTTTTCTTCTCTGAAATGTAAATTACAAAAATATCCTTTATAGTGATAAGATATGTATGGTTCCAGTGCGTGTCCACACTGCCCTTATCTCCACCCAGCATGATGAGACTATCACAAACGATGAGATTGTCGTTGACCATGTCATTAAGCTTGTTCTTCATGAGAAGACAATCTTCATGGTGATGCAGGTCTTACTGGAGGTAAGATCATTCATACTTATGACGGACGGGGAGCCCACGGTGTTGACCTGGTGGTATTTATACATAATTATTGTAACCTTAGTAGTTTAGTTAGTATGAGAAAAACATGGAGATTTAATGACAAAACCAGTAGCAAATCTTATTTTTTATTAAATTATTGAATATTATCATTATTTTTCAATGTCACACATAATACCATTCAACTGCATAAAATGTTATGAAGGGGGAAGAAAGCTAAAGTCTAATGACACAATATGATGGTGGTAGCAGTATTTTTGCTTGGAATAGAAATCAAATTCTTGTTATCCGCTCCGCAAGATTTAAGGATCTCTCTTTGTGTAACCTAGATTAGTGCAGTTGTGTTAATAATTTTTACTAGGTCAATTTATTTGAAAAAAAAATCGAGGACGTGTTGAACTAATTCTGCAAAAATGATTGAAGACGGATTGAACTGATTCTATAAAAATGAACTGATTTTGTAAAAATGATCGAGGACAAGTTGAACTGATTCTACAAAAATGGTCGAAAACGGTTTGAACTGTTTCTGAAAAAATAATTGAGAACGGGTTGAACTGATTCTGCAAAAATGATTGAGGGCGGGTTGAACTGATTTTGCAAAAATGATCGAGGACAGGTTTAACTGATTCTGCAAAAATGAACTGATTTTGCAAAAATGATCGAGGACAAGTTGAACCGATTCTACAAAAATGGTCGAAGACGGTTTGAACTGTTTCTGAAAAAATAATTGAGAACGAGTTGAATTGATTCTGCAAAAAATGATCAAGGGCGGGTTGAACTGATTTTGCAAAAATGATCAAAGACGGGTTAAACGGATTCTACAAAAAAAAAAAAAAATTGATTCTACAAAAATGATTGAAAACGGGTTGAACTTAGTTTGCAAAAATGGTCGATGACTAATTGAACTGATTTTGCAAAAATGGTTGAAGATAGGTTGAAATGATTCTGCAAAAATGATCGAGGACGGATTGCATTGATTCTACAAAAATTGTCGAGGATGGATTGAACTGATTCTGCAAAAACGGTCGAGGACGGATTAAATTGATTCTAGTAATAAATGATACAAATTGATTCTGCACATAATTTCAAAATTGATTCTGTAGAAAAAATCGAGGATGAGTTAAGCTTATGACACATATTAATTTTGTTGGAATTGCGAAGGTTGTGTTGTATTAGCAACCCTAAAGCCTTAGTGGTATGACTAGTATTTTAAAATATTGTTTCCATGTTTTTGGGCTGGGCTTTAGTTGTTTTTATTTTTTTGTCTCTCCTTGGCATAACTAATGGAGTTCCTTGAAATATAATGAAATTTTTGTCTCCTCTCACCTCACCGATCCACATCAACCTTTTTTCTTCTCTCTCCTTTCTCATTTCACCTCTCTTCACTCTCTCATATCACTACTCTACTCTCACTCCATAAACAATACATCATGTGACGCGGGAAATTTTTTATTATAATTGGAATATGAGTAGTACATCATGTGTTTTTATAGAAGTGGTGAAATTTTTTATTTTTTAAGTTATTAACTTTTTAACACATATATCTCACCATTTGTATAGTGATACTTTGTGACATCCCACATCGCCCAGGGAGCGATCCTTAAATGTATATTCTCATCCCTACCTAGCACGAGGCCTTTTGGGAGCTCACTGGCTTCGGGTTCGTAGGAACTCCGAAGTTAAGCGAGTAGTGCGCGAGAGCATTCCCAGGATGGGTGACCCATCGGGAAGTTCTCGTGTGAGTTCCCAGAAACAAAACCGTGAGGGCGTAGTCGGGGCCCAAAGCGGACAATATCGTGCTACGGTGGTGGATCGGGCCCGGGTTGTGGTGGGGGCCCGAGCCGGGATGTGACATACTTGGTGTACCAACTTGTACACCGGTCACACTGAAAAATCTCTCATGTAATGCTTGTGTTAGCTTTTGTTTTTGTTTTTGTTTTTTTTTTTTATTATCATGTTAAACTTTTATCATTTTCATTAAAGTTTAAGTCATTTTTATTAAAATTTAAGTTATCTTTATTAAATAAAGTTAGTAGATAATTTTTTGTTAATAAAAGTTTAGAGAAGCTCTTTTGATTAATTTTTTCTTATTTTAATTCAATTTTACACGGTTATCAAATACTTGAATTATCATCTTCAACTCCGTCCTACTCGGTACGGTTACTCACAGAATTTTAACGGTTAAATTGCCATCCGTACATTCTAATCTTCTACAACACATTGTATTGGAATCAAAATTGAAGCAGTAGAAGTCATAGATGGGATTTGGATCCTCTCTGGATCCCCTCCCTGGGGATCCCGGGGATCAAGACACAAGAACCGTTCATTAAAGATCATGCGGTCATAATTAATGTTTTTTACGCAAAACGAGATTATTTTAATTTTAAAAATATAAAAAACATTTAATTGTGGCTGCACAATCTTTGATGAACGGTCCTTGTGCCTTGATCCCCGGGATCCCTAGGGAGGGGATCTGGAGAGGATCCAAATCCTCATAGATGTACTCATGTAGTTGATACTAGGGATTAGAAAATTGTGTTTTAAAAGGCTTGGCAGCTCAAGACGTGAAAAAGATCCAAGTTATTTAAACTTGAAAGTATTTGAAAAATGAGCTAAACCAAAACACATCCTCGTAGATATGTGAGACCGAATTCATTTGAGAGGATACACACACACACACACACTCTCTCTCTCTCTCTCTCTCTCTCGATAAATTATCTTGTAATCAAAGACACCATGTGACAACCACCACGTGGTTGCCTAGTAGTTCGAAACAAATTTCAGGCCTATATTTCATGATGCGTTGTGAGTTTGATTCCTACACTTGTGAATCACATAAAAATGATCAGAAAAAGTTGAAATGCATCCTTGAGTTTTTTCGGCCCCCGAAATAATGAATTGCCATGAAAAAGTCATCAACTGATCATTTTTTTATTAAATAAAAAAAGATATCATGTGACAAACATTTATTAAATTGTTAATGTACATTATAAATACATGACAAACACCCGTTATACGAATGACACCAGTACAAAAACTATTTCACAGTTGCAGAAAAAGTTTCTATCGTACACAATTTGCATTTGTTGATCTTTAGAACGTGGATTATAACCAAAACGAAACCCAGTGTATATTCCGTATTGTACACGTCCGTTGGAACCTGTCGATCGTTGAAATTTAGCTTGACGTACACTCGCACGTAATCCCCAGAAGAGACGTGTATGCATGGGCGCCAGACGCACACTCGCAGAAAGTAAATTTCATCGTGTGGTGGGTGAATAGCCATAACAGGGCTTTGGTTGTGTCCTACTCACGGGCTAAGAGACATGAGCTAACCCCCATTAACCACCATACACTGATATACCTAATTTTCATCCCAAAGTCTTCCTTTGTTGTCCCCCTTCACCCCCCACCCCCCTCCCACCCGCCGTCCCGGCCCCGGGCCCCCCACCCTCTCTCCCCATAACACAGTTTCTACCTCATTTGTGCCTTTTGATATTTTGTTATGAGATTAATTTCTAGTTGTAGTCAACTGTTACGGCATAAATTGTCGTGCATGTTGCTCCGTTCTAAAAGAATATTTGGTTCGAGCCATGGTTTGAGTCTTTTTAGTTATAAACATCATAATCGGAACAAATCATTATCTTTGTTATTATCTAAATATCATCTCTAAAAAAATTCATTTAATTAGGTGATTGCTCAACCATTGTATTTCTAAGAGGGAGCATAATTTATATAGATGCAAAATTTGTATAATCATGCAAAAGAATGCATGAATAATCTTCACATATATAGTTTATGCAATTTTTGAAAGGGGATTGCTGGAAGGACAGTGCATGAATTAGCCTTTTTTTAGCGCCATTGCATGAAGCATGGAAAGTAAAGAAAAATGCCAACTACGAAGGAACAAAATATACAGAGTGATGGGGGATGGCCTCTACTGCGTCTTGGTAGTGTCCTCCCTAAAGTCTTGGAAACACTGTCATTTGTAGAAACACACACATACATGAAACACTTTAATTTTGATGTATCTCACATGTAATAATAAAGTTCACTTCTATTGTAAATTGTATATGCAATATGATCATTTATGTTTAAATAACATTTTAACTAGCAATTTTTCTAATGTTATTTATTCATATCATTTCTATAACCACCACGGGATGGCCTTATGGTTGGGAACGAATTTCAAGTCTGTATTCCACAAGGCACGTCTTTGGTTCGATTCCTAGAGCGTGTGAAACACACAATGAAGGCTAGAGGGAGACTGAAATGCCTCTGTGAATCTTCTCCACCCCCGGAAGTGTTGATTGCGGTGGCGAAGCGACAAGTCGGTCCCTTTTAAAAAAAAATTAAAAAAATTCATATCATTGCTATATAGTATAGTGACGAAATGAATTATTAATTGCGTATTTACTCTTGAATTAATCTCTCTTTTACATTTATACTTTCAACCTGGCTAGGTAGCTTATGTATAGCACACATGTTCATGTACAAGCCATTGAAAGTCAAATTCACGTGGCAAGTAGCAACCCCCGCGATGGCGAACCCAAGGGCATCAAGTCATGCTAAATGAATGTATATATATAGAGAGCTTGAGTCCTCACTGAAATGCCAAAAACCAAAACATAGATTTGTGCAATTCTCATATATATATACTTATAATTTGCACGTTTTCGAGTGTGTCAATATATATTCTTGTCTAGCTCTTTGTTGTACAAGAAGATGGTTGTCAAAGTATATGGTCCAGTAATGGCAGCCTGCCCCCAGAGGGTGATGGTTTGCCTTTTGGAGAAAGGAGTGAACTTTGAAATTGTAGATGTTGATCTTGAGGCAGGAGAGCACAAGCGACCCGAGTTTCTCACCCGTCAGGTAGTTCTTCGATTCACAATTTGAAAACATAAAGTGCGCATGTAACATACATGATAGTTAAATGTAATTCTAAATCAAGCGTCAACAAAATTCTGTAAACTTATGGGCTAAGACAAAGCCCTTAAAGGAGGTGGAGATGGAATATGGCTGTTAATATTGAACCTGTAATATATATTGATAGATGTTTAATTGTTTTGCAGCCGTTTGGGCAAGTTCCAGTTGTAGAAGATGGTGACTTAAGGCTCTTTGGTGAGAACCATATATACACATACATACATATATATATAATGTATTTCATGGCGTATTCACAAAATTTCGTGTTTATAATTGGAACCTTTATATTATAAATCCCTTTGTAAACATTATCCCTCCAAAGAAATAAATTAAAAATAAGATTGTTTAGTCAACTAATTGTAGTAAATAGATAAACGGTTCATAATACTTTTACCGAATTCATCTATCTTTTATACAGTAAATTATCTTTGTTTGAATTGACTTTTTGTATAAATAGATTACATAATTATTTATAATATGAACGATTCTGATCATTATTAGCACAAAATTTTGAAGAAAAAAAAAACCAACAACGTATTTCAAGGAGAATTTCCTCCTCAATCCCTGAGGAGCGAAGTCTTTCTCATATATAAATATACACACACGCATGTTCCTACGTACATGTTCTTTTATGGTCTGAGCCTTTGTATCTTTTCTCCTTCCAGAATCTAGGGCCATCATAAGGTACTACGCAGCCAAGTATGCAGGCCGTGGTCCCAACCTATTGGGAACAACTCTGGAGGAGAAGGCAGTTGTCGACCAGTGGCTGGAAGTGGAAGGCCACAACTTCAACGACCTGGTTTACACTCTAGTGCTCCAGCTTCTTGTCCTGCCACGGATGGGTCAACGTGGCGACGTTGCATTAATCAATGCATGTGAGGAGAAGCTGGAGAAGGTGTTTGATGTTTATGAGGAAAGATTGTCAAAAAGCAAATATCTTGCTGGAGAAACTTTCACTCTGGCTGATCTGAGCCATCTTCCTGGGATTAGGTATCTGATTGATGAAGCTAAACTGGGGCATTTGGTGACTGAGAGGAAGAAAGTGAATGCATGGTGGGAGGACATATCCAACAGGCCTTCTTGGAAGAAACTAATGCAGCTTGCTAGTGACTACTAGATAGTCATACCTACTTTGTGCTTCATATATGATATAATTCCGCACTTCTTTTTTCTCTCATGCATGCACACTTTGGATTATTTTTAGGCTTAATAAGTCTGATGATGAGAATCAAGGGACAAATATAAACATGGGTGTGGATACATAAAATAAAAAAGAGGTGTGCGGAAAGATTATCATAATATATATGTGACCTAGAAGAAATATTTGAGAGGAGAAGAAAAATAATACCTAAAGAAATCCTACGTTGTGTGAGAAAATTGCAAGAAAAAAGACAATAATAATATTAGTCGCATCGTATTTATTATAGCGACGACTATTGCTTCTATTTAAAAGAAAGAGAGATCATTTTAAGAAAAAAAGTTGGATTGATTTACATTTCCCCCCTATATATGTAATATGTATGTGTGCTGTGTGACAAATTAGTTGTGTCAATAAAAAGAATAAATGGTTTTCTTCATTTACCCCTAAGGAATGCTTTGCTTTTATCAAAAAGATATATAAACCGCAATTTGGAAACATATACATATAAACTGTAGTTTGGGAATACCATCATTGAAAAAAAACCTAGTAAACCATGCATGCAAAAGATGATGCATGGAACGATATCCTAATATCGTAAATTTATCGGCACTTATATTTACTTCTTTGTAAATATATATGATGAAATGTGATTACGAGAACTTGTCGTGCCAAATGCCAAATGCCTTAAGAAACTAACTAAATACGTCGTGGGACCAAAGCTTTGACAAAAATGATTTTCAATGTATATATTACAATTAGAAAATTAAAATGTCCCAATATATAGAAGTCTTGGAGAGCTGAATAATTCCTCAACTACTGTTAAAAAAAGCAAGCGATATAGGAGAGCCACCTGCACGTTCTCCGTTTGCTTCCACACATTTTAGTGTGTTGAAGAATGGTGGATGGTGGATACAAATCGAAAACTGTATCAAGTACGTATTACCCCCCACACACACACTTTAGCTGACACTCACTTACCCTACATAGCTTAGCTAGCTTGTGCATTGTCTGGACTCTGTGGATGGATCAAAATCTTGAGTAATATTATATGATTAACCTCTTTCAGGTAACTAGATAGTGCAATGGTGCTTTTAATCATATATCAGCGACCAGAGGCGGTTTTGGGGAGTGAAATGTGCAATTGCGCCCCAAATTTGAAGGGGCCTAAAAAAAAGAAATTTTATCAAAAATTTATTTGTGATAATGCTATATATTAAAAAAAAATTGTTTTTGCTAGCGCTTTTAAATCTCATTGTGCACTTCTTATAAGTGCTGATTTTTTTTCTTTCAAACTATAAATATTTAGAGTGCATAATGAGCTATTTGGAGTACCAATAACAACTTCCTAAAAAACGATTGGTTTTTCAATTTTATTATATAATAATGCTAAATATTCAAGTAAAACTTTAAGAGTTTTTGAGGTTTTTTTTCTTCTTGTTTGGTTGTTTAAGATTGAACTACTTTTGATTATTTAGTGAAGGTTATATGTTTGTTGCTTTTTTTTACTTATTATTTAATGATATTAGTAAAAGTACAATCAGTGAGTCTTAAAGTTTGTTTTGATTTAAGTTATTATTTTCCAACATTAATGCATTGTCCTACGTTTTTTCAGAAAACATCTTAAGACGGGTCATTTTATAAATTTTGCACAAGACTTCCGAAATGACAGCTGTGCCAGTTAGGGATGTATTAAATTGAAGGCCCTTTCGCTTATAAGATTAAACACGACAATTCCAAACACCATTACCAGAAACAAAAATCAACAAAAGCACATGAACACGCGCAGCAATTCTTGGATACTCCAGTTATTTAAACAAACGTAATCCAATAAATGGCCGAGAAGTACATCCACCTCATTTATGCCAATGGGGTTTCAATTCGAAACCCTAACTGTTACTTGTTACTCAATCAAGCGAGTGCGGGCATCCATGATACACTTAAGGATCGAATCCACGTTCAGACACAACGAACCACGAACCCCATTTCTTGGTTTTCAGGAGCTGATGGGCTTTACCTTTTTTCCCATGGTGGCGTGGCGTCGTACACACTCAACCTTTGTTTTGTTTGCCTTTTCGTTCTCGCAGGGTCTCTTTTTCCTTTGAATTTTGTTATCAGTTGTACGCTTGCATTGGACCTGGGTTGCTGAATCGGACTGGTTCAGTCCGCGGTTTCTACTTTTAAATGCCTTTTTTGAGGAAAAAATTATGTTAATGGAAATTTTATTCGAATATGAGGCGGTTATGGGGAAGTAAACGGATATGAGGCGGGTTTGGGTGTTTTTTTTTTAATTTTTAATTTTTAATTTTATAAATCCGAGTCAGGTGTGGAGTAGTGATGGTACTACCATACCTTAATCCGAACCCGATCCGATTGAAGGTCCTACGCTATAATATGGAATGATAAACATTCAACGGATTTGAAGTTGTTGTTGTTGTTTTTTTTTTTTTTTTTTAACAAACAATATTATCTATACTAAAAAATGGAAGAATGGACTAATTAAGCCTCGCAACGGATTAATAATAATATTGTTCATATTCGCCGCGAGAATCAAATATAAAAACTCATATGTTTGGAATTTTGACAGGGAAGAAAAGAAGAAAAATATCAAAACTAAGAGGTCAAAACTTTTTCTCACCTCTGACTTCCGAATTTTTTTCTTCTTCTTTTGGTTCATAAGACGTTCAAGAAAATCTGAAGGGGAAAATAATGAAACATCCACAACTAGTTATGTGCACAGTTCAACCGTATAGTACTTACTGCTCGAGTGTTGGGAGAATCACTTTCTTTGTTCCATGTAAGCGGAAGCGAGAATAGTCTGTAATGTGACATATGGGTTGCATAAGCAGATACTTGGACAATGGAGCGCACTATTGGTCTTCGCACAACAAGTATCTGTACCATGGCTGTTGGGGTTGACAACAAATGACATAGTTCATATACTTGGGAGCACTGTAAATTCCGAGCTGCCAACTTTGCTTTTATGATCCTTCATCAAAGGAAGCTTTGAATACTGAAATCCATATGTGGTAAAGTAATCACTATATCGATGCTCATATTGAGAACCTAATTTCACTCGACTGAATTTCTACTTCTGAGTTCTGTGTTATACAAGTCTTTTGGAAGAATGTCTTCAACACGTATCTAGTAGAATCTGTTTTTAGTGTTACAGAATCAACCACGATAGTTAGAAGTTTGATCGAATTGGATATACATTGGTGGATGATTAAGAGTTAGATTTGAGGACTGAGATATATCTTGTATTTGATGCCTTTGACAATTTGCTCCCTTCTTTAATTAAGATTTCTAAGCAGAAAGTTTTTAGTGTTGTTAGCAATGTAAACCAATGGTAAGTTACATGTGCGTGTTTATTCTTTTCAATTTTTACGAATATTTGTTTGGTTGTTAATTTATTTTTAGTTACTAGCTAGTAGCTATGTGGGTTGCTATTTTTAAATATTCATTTGAATTCAAGTCTAATCTTCTACAAAGAGTAATACACAGACCAAGTTTTTAGAGCAAATTTGCCAATCATATGACGTGTCATCAAAATGTTTAATTTAGTGCCCATTCATTACTTATACATATTAATTAAAGACTCGAAAAAACATCATTATTTTTTTAGTCTCATATTGACAAGGTTAGTAAATAAGAAAAAACACCTCACGATTTATACAAAAACACTTTAAAATTTCAGATGAAGAACAAAACTCATCGTCTCTCTACATGTAAGCTTAGAGTTTTTTAGTTTCCTTCTCTGGATACAAAATAAATTAGTCTTTCTGTGTTTCTAAATTATTGAGTTTGAACTGCTTTTTTAATAATTTTATCAATGTCTTATGTGTGCAAATAAATAATTTTCTTATATGAAGTTAGGGCACATTTTTTGGCGTCACTTGGACCTCAAAATTCTATGGACCGGGCCTGCTGAGTGTAACACAAGGTACAATTGCAAGGCAAACAATGACCACCACGATATTGTCTATCTACTTGTAAGCCCGGAGTTTTTTGGCTTCATTCTCTCAATATAAAATAAATTAGTATTTCTGTGTTTCTAAATTATTGAGTTTGAATTGTTTTTCTAAGTATAATATTATCGATGTCTTACGTGTGAAAATAAATAATTTTCTTATATAAAGTTAAGGCACATTTTTTAGCAACGCCCCAGACCTCAAAAATCTATGGACCGACCCTGCACTTGATGTATTGGGACACATTAATTTTTTTTTTCCTAATAAAATACCAACAATAAAAGGGTCAATAATGTGTGCATGGGTAAATGGGAAACTTGCTTAGCAATTTAAATCTTACAAGGAACGCTACGACACCATTTTAAAGCTTGGAAGGGAATGCATGAAACACAAACCTAAAAAGTAAAGAAGGATTTGGATCCCATCCATATCTAAATTATGGGGATCATAAGAATCCTTACATCTTAACTATTTATCGTGCATTATGCGATCATAAATCATTTGATTTTTTTTATGTAAAATTAAACACAAATAGTATCTGACGAAAGTTGATCGTACAATGTATGATGAACGGTTAGGATGTGGGAATCCCTATGATTCCCACAAAATGGATCCGAAGAAAATCATATTCCAAGAAAGAAAAGCGATTACGAGCGGAATGACTTCACATGCAATTCATGCGTTTCGAGTTTGAAATTCTTATGATTTAAAAAAATGTTAAATTTTAAAATTTTCACATGCTGGGAATTTCTTCATAGCATGAAATGAATATTTGAATAATAGATTCATGGGAATTTCTCTTGAAAAATAATACGTGAACACTTTAAAACAAAAATAAAACATAGTCCGTACTCTGACAAGAACCACTGATGTATGGTGGTACATGGATGCTGTCACATCAGTCCCATACTCAACGGTTAAGATTCAAAGGTACGAATCCCTGGACGGCCCAGATCGGGGTTTCCCACTAACACTCCTTCCCTTTCCCCTCTCTCTCCTCAGTTCGGCACTGTGAGTTTCAACTTTCAACGCAAAATCTTCTTCTCTCCTTCTCTCTCTACTTTTCTCTCTCTTTGGCTTTTGGGGTTTCAATCGAATGGACAGTGATAGACCAAAAAATTCAGAAAAATGCTTTGAGTAGCAACAATCAGCTTTGAGCTTCTACTTCTCCTGCTACCATGGCGATCTTTTAGAGGAGAGCGTGATGCTTCCATGGATGGAGGGGAGGGGTTTCCAGTTTCCTCCATTTGTGGCTTCAAATTGTACAGAAGGATGGTAATTTTGTGGAGAATGATGGACAATTTGGATAACTTGACCAAGGGTACAGGTCATAGACGATGAGCACACTAGCATATAACAATGCAAGCAGACATAAAACACATCCATTGTATAAAAAATAAAAATCACAAAAAAAGGCAGAGAGACCGGAAAATTTGGTAATTTCAAGCATGATGTCTTGGGGTATGTCGTCCATGCCCAGTGCCCTTGGTCTCGGTGGCCTCAATGCGAAATTGTAAAAATTGTCATCGGTGCCTTATTGGGTTTCTTTGTTTTCTTTCGTGTTTTTGATAAAATATGTTGATTTGAACAAACTCATAACAACTCAACCAGGTTCAACAAACAAATATAAGAGAGCATACGTAATATGAAATCTCAGAAAACTACCTCAAGAAGTCTAATTTATACAATTCTTGCACACTTAAGCAGAGAAATATGATTAGATATCCATTAACAAGTAAATGTCAGGCAATTCCAATTGCCAGAATTAACCAGAAAGCCACCCCAACTAAAGTTCATGAAATGGAATACAATTCTTGTAGAATGATAAGCAGTATAGTTAATCAGGTATCCAACAACAACAAGAAGTAAAAGTAAAGCATACCTCATTTGTGCAAGTACGTCAACCCGAAAATCATTAACAAATGCAGGAAATTCAAGATCATCAAATTCATGGCTGTATAGAAAGACCCAAGAATATACTTCTTAGCTTGGTGAACTGATCAGCTTCCCTCTGCGATCCCATGGTGGCTTCCTACACATTTGACCTTGGTTCGGCTATGGAGCTTTAAGGATCTCGTCTCCCATTGATTTATGGTGTAAAAATCTCTTCAACAACGACGAGCTCTTCCTTAGAGCTGTCTGTAATTCTCTCCATGACTCCAACTCCATCAGATCCTTCACTTCCAACAAAGCTTGTGCGCGCCCTCTGATTTCTTCCTCCGCTTCTGCAACCGTCTGATCAGGCGCTATCAGTTGCAACTCAAACCTAGAAGTAGCTTCTGTGAAAAGTGCTCAGCAGTGCCACCCAACTTATTGCTCCTATTCTTCTTTGCTTGATGTGGAATTCAAAACCCTTCACTGGTTGTGGCTTCTCCCTGAAATTCAAAGGGTGGTTTCGGACAGCAAGAGATTGTAGGATTCAAGTGTTGCTGGTTTAAACTGCCATTGTTGTTCTTCTGCATAAGAATACAGGGCAAACAAACAGTGGATATGGTGAGAGAGAAATGCCTGATTGGGATAAATGGGGACTGGGTTGGGGTGGAGGGTTGGGCTGGTGTTGGGATTAGGCCTGGGCTAAAAATTTAACATTTATAGAATGGTCCATTTCATCAATTTTATTTTTTATTTTTTATTTTTTTGGATGCACCATTTCATTATTTTTCAATTCAAGAGGTTATTGACAAAAATAAACAAATACATAAATAAATTTAAAGAGGTTAGTGTTATGATTATATTTTACTAGCATATGGGCACACACAAAGTGTGAAATTTTTTGTTTTTTGTTTTTGAAATAGGAGAGAGGAAGAGAGTGATAGAGAATGTGGAAGTGAGAAGTTTTTTTTAAAATTTTTTATAAATTAGAGATATTTTAGGATTATATGTAGGTAAGGTTTTGAAAAAAAAAACAGCAAAATTTGGTTATGTGAAATTACAATTCTACCACATATTTCTTATTTATGTTCTGTTTTAATTAGAGAGTTAAACTGGTAATTTCATAAGGTTTTGGTTGACAATAAGTGTTTTATTAATTATTAGAGATAAGATACGGTTTTGTGCAAGCCTAAGTAGAGTTAAGTTAAGAATCTTACACTAAGTTTGGATGAAGAAATTTAAGATTACTAAGGAGTTTTAAAATGATAGAAATTGAAATGATAGGATTTTATTTTCTAGATTTTGTAAATTTTATTGTTTGGTTAACTTAAAAGAACAATGAAACTGAATACATAATTTGTTATTTTTAAATTCTCAATCATAGTAATTGAGAAATGACACATATTTACAAGGAATTTAAACTTAGGAATTGGAGGTCCCAAATTCTAAGTTTTTTTTTTCCACGCGGAATTTCTAAATTCCTATGTTTATGAATCCAAACAAGTGAATTTGTGCATATCAATTTATAAATTTTGATTTTTATCCAAATTTTAAGTTTATTTCCTTCATCCATCCATAATGTTCACAATATTTTTATATTAGACTTTGTATTTAAGGTTATTAGACATGGTCTTGTCCGGATAGGGTCTGGTCATCATGTGATAACCTTGGTACCCTTTATCTTGATTCTAATCTTGTTCATTATGCTCGCAGTTCCATTATTGAACTTGATTATCATTTTGTTCGTGTGAAAGTGGCACTTGGTCAGTCAACGGGTTTATTATATTTCTTATGCTGACTTGATTACCAAAGCTCTCCATCAATCTCGTTGTGGTGTTCTTTGCTTCAAACTCGTCGGATTAAGCTCGTTTAATTTCCAAGGTGGGTGGTTATTATAATAGATTTAGTTAATATCTTCTCCATGATAATACAAATGTAATTTCTTATTATAGTATTTTAGGATTCCTTTCACATATAAATTTTGTCAAACCCTGTATATATTGTAAGTTATATCATATTAATCCAAGGACCCATAGTTTACAATAAGTTTTCTTCTTAATAATAGGTTCTATTGTACGGTAGGTTTGAAAGTGCTAGTAAAAGCGTTTAGACCTCTAAAAGCACTTCTAACAATAGACAATAGTTAAAAACGCTTCTGCGTTTATACAATTACTTAACATTTTTATTAAAAATTTCAATGTACTTGTAATAAAAGCGCTTATGAGAGGAATTAGTTCACATGCAAATTGCATATGACGCCATTGCTGCTGAATTATAAGTTCATGGGAATTTCTCTTGAAAAATATTACGTAAAACACTTTAAATAAAATAAAACATAGTACGTACTCTGACAAGGACCACTGAGGTATGGTGGCACATGGATGCTGTCACATCAGTCCCATACTCAACGGTCGAGATTAACAGATACGGATCCCTGGACGGCCCAGATCGGAGGTTTCCCATAGCGCGCCTAGACTCTCTCCTTGTATGAGGTCCAGCTCGGTCGGGACCTTATAAGAAGGGAAAGAGTAAAGACCCCCACTCTTTCCCTTTCTCTCTCTCTCTCTCTCTCTCTCTCCCCTCTCTGTTCGGCACTGTGAGTTTCAACTTTCAAAGCAAAATCTTCCTCTTTCTTTCTCTCTCTACTTTTCTCTCTCCCTTTGGCTTTGGGGGTTTGAATCGAATGGACAGTGATAGACCGGAAAAGGAGGAGGAAAAAGCTTTTTGAGTAGCAACAATCAGCTTTGAGCTTCTGCTTCTGCTTCTGCTTCCATGGGGATCTCTAGAGGAGAGCGTGATGCTTCCATGGAGGGAGGGGAGGGGCTTCCAGCTTCCTCCATTTGGGGCTTCAAATTGTAGGAAAGGATGGTAATTTTGTGGAGAATGATGGAAAAATTGGATAACTTGAAGTAGTAGTATTCAGTAGAGTTCATCTTCTTTCTTGGGTTGTTGAGGGTGGTTCTGCAAATTAGGGGTTTTCTATGTGTGAATTTTTAAATATAATTAGGGAAAGGTTTAGGTTAATATTTATATATCTTTAGTGATATGAAGCTTTCAGCATCAGGGCTGGGTCAGCAGGATCATGAAGGTAAAAACCCTATTTTTATATATATATTTTGGTTTTGTTTATTATATTTCTGGATTTTAGGTGTAGTTTTCTTAAATTTCTGCCATTAATTATTATTACTGTTGCTGTCGTTGTTAGTGATCTTTGAAAACATATAAAAAAAAAAATTGAAATTGAACTGAAAAATGATAGGAGGGGGAGGAGGAGGAGTGGAAAAGAAGTGCTTGAATTCGGAGCTGTGGCATGCGTGCGCTGGGCCTCTGGTATCCCTGCCGACACGTGGGACTCGTGTGGTCTACTTTCCGCAGGGCCACAGCGACCAGGTTGCCGCCACTACCAACAAGCAAGTTGATGCCCACCTACCAAACTACCCGAGCTTGCCGCCCCAGTTGATCTGTCAGCTCCACAATGTCACCATGCATGTGGGTTCCCTTTGCCTTTTTTGAATTTTGATTCAGCTGCATTGCTTTCACTTGTTTATGACTTATAGAAAAAAGAACACAAGTTAAAAATTGAAACCCGAACTGGAATTGATTAACCATTGAACTTCAGGCAGATGTGGAGACAGATGAAGTATATGCCCAAATGACATTGCAGCCTTTGACGCCGGTAAATGCTTATGTTTTTTTTTGCTGTTTAATTTGTTGGAGTTTTTCTAACTTACTGTAATAATTTGCAATGTTGTTTGAAACTGCACAAATTCTCACACAGCAAGAACAAAAAGAAACATTTCTTCCAATGGAGTTGGGGCTTCCAAGCAAGCAACCCACAAACTACTTTTGCAAGACATTGACCGCGAGTGATACCAGTACACATGGTGGCTTCTCTGTTCCTCGTCGTGCTGCCGAGAAAGTTTTTCCTCCACTTGTACTTCCCTCATCAAACTGCTATTGTCTATTCTGTTCTATTATTTGACTCTAGTTGGGTAGTGTTGCTTTTTATTTAAACCCTTTTATTTTATAATGTCCTACAGGATTTTACGCTACAACCACCAGCTCAGGAACTTATTGCTAGGGATCCTCCATGATGTTGAGTGGAAGTTTAGGCATATTTTTCGAGGTACGATTTAGACTTGGCGCATTCCTTTCTTGCGTTGCATTGTAGGGGATTTTATATCACACTTTGCCATCTATTTTGCAAAATAAATAATTTCTTCCGTAACTGGAAAATAATAATTTCTTCATTAATATAATATGTTGCCAGTTAGAATTATACCTGAAAAGTTTGGAAGTTTTTGACTGCTTTGTATTCCTGTAATGATTTGCAACATCAAACTATTGTTATCAGACATAATTCGTGCACGGAAGGCACAGATTTGTAGTCTCTTCTTCTTCTGTTCATGCAATGGAAGAAAATTTTAGGTTAGAATCATTCATGCAGCTACAGGATTGATTAGGTTGTCCGGTTCTTGTGTTTTGGGGGATTTGATCTGCTTTACAAATTAACATCTATATGGCAAGCTAAATATACTCACATCAATGATTGTTTACTTAAACCCTGGTTCAGCTGATGCCCAAGGTAACCTCTTGATGGTGCTGTAATTTTAAAATTATGCTCATGCTGCCTTAATGATTGTAATTCCAGTATTCTGCACGAACCAGAGAAAATTCCATGGTACATACTGATTTAGTGGGCTAATCTACACTTTTAGGTTATGACTTTTGTCTGTTCAAATCATTAATGTATAACGCCTGCAGGTGTTATACATTATATGATCACTCAGTGGACTAGTCCACTTTTTTGTCATGTATCCTTTATGTTGACGGCATCATTAAAGGATTCTGATAGGATGTTGTTTACCACAAAAATGTATAACCCTGGCATGGTAAATAATCATTTCTATAACCCTTCCACTGACCCCACTGAATATTGAAGTACCAAGTCCCTAATGTGAACAACAGATTTTGATAAAACGCTCTGATTAATGCATGCATGGAAAACTGCTTCAGAGGGACGCAATATCTCAAACATGGAGACTTTGATGTAATCAACCCTCAGTCTCATATGGTTATGTTGAGGATCACTAGACTCGCCAGTCACCACTATGATGAAAAGTTGACCCGAATCATCTTGGCACAATATTTTTGTCAATGGATGTTGTTTGATCAGATTTAGTCTACCCTGGTGTGGTCATTCACAGAGTTTAGTCAACTGAAGTAATGAAGAGACGGCCATTGCATTATTTTAAAGTGTGTAGCAATATCATGGTATTACTAATTGGTAACGAACATTATTGTTGATAAGAGAACATGTAGTCCATGACGAAGCTCATTTAGGGAAGGGTTGCTAATGTTGGCTGTATGATGTGGATGAAGCTGAATTATATGGATGATTGATAAAAAAGAAGGATTGTATTCGAATATGTTTGACCTGCTGTTCCTGGTGTTAGCTTGATACACAATGCTGATCCATTTGTTAACGGCTTAAGCTTTTAAGCTCTACTGGTTGCTGACTCCAAGTGCTTTAAGTTTGTTTTCTTTTCTTTCTATAGTTTTCATATTTCCACACGGCCAGGTTCCCTGTTAGATTTGCAGCACTGAGACAACACAAATCTCTTCTTCTTTTGATTCATCTTGGATGAGCTGTTGGTCAAGCACTACTGTGTTACTAGTGCTCGATTAGATTAGCTCTTTCTGAGACCTGTGGTGCCCTTGCTTGTTGGAGCAGTTCCGTGATGGAC